ATAATAAAACTAATAATAATCAATTAATTATTTTTTCATTTTAAGTTACAAAGAAATCGTGTACGTAGTGCAGGTGGTGGTATCAATATTAATAGTCGAAATGATTCAAAATTACAATTACATGGATCAACAACAATATCAAATGATGATGAACAACAACAACAAATTCAAGCAATATATAGTCAACAACTTATTTGTAATCCAAAAGTATTACTTATTCAAGGTAGAAATAAAAATTGAAAAAAAGTTTTTATTTGTTTTTATTTCAATTGAATGAAAATTTAGATTTTAATGAAAATGAAAAACAATTAATAATTGGTTATTGTGATCGAACAATTCGTATATTTATTTCAATGATTATGGAAGAATATGATGGTCGATTATCAGGTCGAATTGTATTAAAACATATTTTTAATGTTGCTGAACAAATTCATACATTAAATTCTAAACGACTATCAACTAGAGATTACGAACTTATTGTTGCACAACCAGGCGGAAATCTTCTTCGATTTAATCCTAATGACGAAAATGGTAATCAAAAATAGCCGAATAGATTTGTTCTTGGTTTTTTTTGTATCAGAATATTCATTTTTAGTTCGAATCGTAGCAACAGATATGTGTAGTCATATGTCAACAGGATGGACAGAAGCAATAGCACTTGAAAGATTTTGTGATGAACCTGTTTACGCAGCTATATGTCATGGTATGAATATTAGAAATGATTAATTTTATTAAAAGAAATTTCAAGTTTGTTTGACGCGTGTCTTGAAAAATGACGTATTAATAAGACTTATACCGATTTCTAGAGAATTAAAAGATGAATCCTTAAAAAAAGAAATCCAAAGTATGCACAAATGGATATTAAAAGAAATATCATTAAAATACAGATAGGTTCATTCTTTCTGGAACACTTGTGATAAACTTAGTCATTCAACTGTGATTTCCTATTCTTTGCTGATGCTTATTGTTTTTTGTAAAGCTGTTACTCGTCAAGGTTAATGCCAAAAGTAAATTACTTAATATCAATAGACAAAGAATTTTATGCTCGATGTCTTTATGACTCATTCAAGGTTTCAGAGATCAGCTTTGATGAGAAAAAGACTTGGAATTGACAACTGTCGATATTTTTGAGTGCCATTTGGAAACTCATGTTTACAAAAGCCAGATTTAATCTATGAAAGATTTGTCATTATGCTATCGGATATAGAATTTAATTCTGAAAAAAAATCATGTAAAAATGATATTAAATCGTGAAAATAATTAGGTTATTTTAAATTAGAAAATAACGATGGTGTATAAATCTACCACAAAAAAAGAACTTTTTTTTAATGTTTTCCCTTTTTTTACTTCAAAACTATTGTTCCCAAATAATTCTTCTAAAATTCTAAAATATGCATTACGAGATGTAGAATTTTCGGAAGAATTTCGTGAGATGATTGATAATTCCTTTCATTAAAAAAGTAGTTATCAGTTATTTATTTTCTTGATTATTGCAGTCAGATGGCTAAATAGGTGTTCTTCTTCTAAATTTTGCACCGACAAGAAAAATTTGTTTGCGAAACAAAATTGACAGTTTTGTAGAACTTGAAATTCTCTGTGTTCGTGCGTAAGAAGGCATTGTTTTTATAATTGAGAAATGACAAAAAATGCACTGAGATTTAGTGCAATTTCTCCTAAGACACTCGCTATTCATTGCATGCTTAGACTATGTAAGAAATTTAATGTATGATGGTATGAAATAATTTTAAGAAAAAACTAGATGTATATAAAGTTTTTATAAAATAAAATTTTAGAGTTATTTTCTAATTTAATCTTAATGTACTTTTTATTTTGAAGATCACATCGATATTTTTCCTGGTCAACTTAATAAAATACTTAGTACAATTCCATTAAGTGTAACAACTGGTTATCTATGTGGTCTTCGAAAAGGACCTGTTACAGTATAAATAAAATTTTTCTTTTTCTTTTGTCTTTAATTGTTTAAAAATCTTTTTTCTTTTTTTACATTTTAATAGAAAGATAATTATAATCAATTAGTAACAGTTTCATCTGTTGATGGTGATACATTTCTTATTGATCGTCATTCAAATATAGTTCGTTTTCGACCACCATTATCATCAAATACAATTTATGGTAGTGGAAATGATTCAATAACAAATAATAATTGTTTTGATCAAATACAAGCATTTACATCAGGTTTATTTGGTGATAATAATTTGTTTTGTTTTATTTATGTTTTAACACATAATGATAAAATTCTAATTGTACATTCAATTGAAATAACTAATACAAGAACAGCAAATCTTTTAACAACAATAGCAAAAACAACATTAGATGATAAATTAAAAGAAGGTAAAAAAAAAAGTTTGTATTTGAATAATTGTTTTTTTTTTTTTATTGAATTATTTAGTTGGATCAATTTCGGAACAATTAAAAGATATTCTACATCCTCATTATTAAATCTTTGTTATATTGATTTGAAAAAAAAATTTAATAAAGATAAATTTAGAATAAATATTTTGATGTTTTGAATGAATCAAAGAAAAAGATTTTTGATATATGAGAATTTACTTATCAAAATTTGTTGATTTGTGTCAATACACTATAAAACGGAAACAAAAATTATTGTGTTTAATTCTTAAAGGAATAGACATTTTTATACTAATTGACTCTATTATTATTTATAAGTAACAACAGATAATCTCTTATTTTCATATTAATTATATCCTTTGCATATATTTTCTGATGAAATTATTATTATCAAATAAATTATGTTGTCTGGTTTTCTTTGCTTGAGAAAACATTTTGAAGTTGTTTTTATAGAAAAATATTATAACATCTTTCATTTTTTGCGTCGTTTAAAATGTATTTTTAACCTGGAAACTATTCCTATAAATAGGCCAATAAATTATTGCGAGAATATTACATAAAATTGTAAATTATATAAAATAAACATTTGAATTTTATATAATCAAGAATACGAAATTCTAATTAAAATATTAAAAGAAAGTATTATATTCTAAGTTCATATTTCGCATAAATTACAAAGTCAAGTAATCTATAGTCGACTTAAATGTATGCTTTTGAGGTTAATAATTTCAAAAAAAAATATAATTTCATGGAGAAAAAAAATCAGTTTTTGTTTTATATGAAGATTTGCTTACAGAATATTGATCTTATTAAATCGATAGGAAGTTCAATTTTTAAGATTTAAAACATAAAAATTTAAAATAAATAATTACCTATTTATTGAATTCATGTAAAATGATTTTCGAAGATAAAATTTTTCTAAAAACTTTTTATTTTAAAATTCTGAATTTTAGCGTCCTCTTTTTCATTGCATATTATTAATTGGAAAAAACTTTCCATCAATCCATAAAGTGTCATTACTTACTTCTCCCTTCTTTTCTTTTTTTTTCTTTTTCTCGTATTTGTTCTTTTCGCTTTGTGTATATATATATATATATATATATATACTCTTTCGCAACTTCTTCTCGTTCTATCTATAGTGCATTTTGGCTTTCTTTTACTCTATAAGATCTCTCTTTCTTGTTGTCGTCTGACAGACATGTCCAATCTATCGTATCTTTCTCTCAATCTTCTCTTCGTTGTTGTTGTCACCAAGTTGATGACTCATTTTCATCTCAATTGACACGTAATGCTACTTCGCACTATTCTTTGAAACTCGATTCACAGAGTATTTCCGGTGTTCAATACATAGTCGTTCATCATTATCATTATTAACATGCAAACTGCTCCGCCTGATAATGCTGTTACTTATAAATTGGTCGTTGTTGGGGACGGTAAAATTATAGAAATGAAAATATATGTTTGATTTTTAATTTTTCTATTAATTTATTTTATTAAAGGTGGTGTTGGAAAATCTGCCTTGACCATTCAAGTGAGTTCAATGAAAAAGTCTTTGTTTAGAGATTAAAAAAAAAGAGATGTATTTTAGTTCTTTCAAAAAATGTTTGTTGAAGATTATGATCCCACTATTGAAGATAGTTATATTCAACATGTCGAAATTGATCGACAAGTTTGTGTACTTGATGGTAAAAAAGAAATCAACAGAACAATATCAATTCAATTTAATAAATTCATTTTTTTTTCATTTTGTCTTATTATTAGTTCTTGATACAGCTGGTCAAGAAGAGTTTTCTGCTTTACGAGAGCAATATATGCGTAAAGGTGATGGTTTTCTTATTGTTTATTCTGTGATTGATCCTAATTCATGTAAGAATACTCGACAATTTTATAATCAAATACTTCGTGTTAAGGACAGGTACTATTATAAAGATATACGAATTTATACGAATTAATCTGTTTTTTTTTTATTAATATAGAAAATTTTATCCAATGATTCTTGTAGCAAATAAAATTGATTTAGTTCATTTAAGAAAAGTATCTGAAGAAGAAGGTCGTGAATTAGCCGATGAATTAAAAATTCCATATATTGAAACGAGTGCAAAAACTCCCCCGAAAAGTGTTGATGTTGCTTTTCATGAACTTGTTCGTGTGATACGACAACAAATTCAAAATCAAAATCCAATTAGAAAAAAACAAAAAAAACGTCGATATACAAATCGTTGTCGTCTTATGTAACAAAACAAAAAAAAACAACGACGAGAAAAAAATAATGATATATTTCATTCTTTTTGTTTTTTGATTGTTTGTTATTTTTTACAATTAATTGAATCTGTTAAGAAAAAAATTTTGTTTCCCTCTTTCTCATATATCTGTTGTTTATGTACTTTTTTTTCCTTCATTGTGTTTTACGTATTAATTCCTAGCTCAAGTCTTTTGTTTTTGTCAAAAATCTACATATGTTTATTCAAGGAAACAAAATTTGACAAAAATTTTCATTGAGAAACTAATAAAATAAAATTCTGCAACGATTGAAAAAACAAACAAAGATAATAATAATAAAAAAAAAAGAAACCAGTGTATTCTTATCTTATCTAGTTTTCATTCTTGTATTAATGATAAAAAAACAAACTATGTATCACCGACTATTTGTTATATTGATTACCATTGCAAGTATTTGTGTAAGTGATAATTGATTGAACACATAGAATTAATTTTTGTTTATCTTTAGACTCAATGTCAATCACAACGTTCATTTACAATTGATTTTGATAGAGATACATTTGTAAAAGATGGAAAACCTTTTCGATATGTTAGTGGTTCAATTCATATGTATAGAATGCCAAGAGAATATTGGACAGATCGTCTTGAACGAATGTGGGCTGCAGGATTAAATGCTATTCAAACGTTAGTTGAATAAAAGTTTTTTGCTTTTAAATTTTCTTTTCGTTATAAATAATTTTGTTTTTTTGTTTTACTTGATCAATGATTTGGTTATTATATAGATATGTCTTTTGGGATCAACATGAACCTATTGAAGGTGTTTATAATTTTGAAGATAACAATGATCTTGTAGGATTTATTCAATTAGCACAAAAGATTGGTTTTGTTGTTATTTTGCGTATAGGACCGTATGTTATTTTTATTAGATGATTTCAAATTGTTGATGATTACAGTTCTCTTAATTAATAGATATGGATGTGGTGAACATGAATTTGGTGGATTTCCTTGGTGGCTTTTGCGTAATCTTGATAATATACAATTTCGACAGATGAATTCTGGTTAAATTTGTTTATGATATAAAATTGAATTAAAAACATAATCTTTTTTTTTTGTTTTCATAGTCTATCTTAATGCAGTTACTCGTTGGATGAGTGTTCTTCTACCAAAAATTCGACCTTTATTATATAATAATGGTGGACCAGTTATTTCTGTTCAGGTTTTATCTATATTATTAGTTCAATTGTTTGATTAGAAAAGTTAATATTTTAGGTAGAAAATGAATATGGTAGTTATTCAGCGTAAGTAAACGTTATCTGTATTTATAAATTATATTTGCATATTCTTTCAGATGTGATCATAATTATATGGGTTATTTACGTGATATTTTTCGTCAATATTTAGGTGAAAATGTCGTATTATTTACAGTTGGTATGCATAATTACAAGATTGGTTTTATATATTCCATCATAAGTTTTCTTTAGATGGTAATGGTTTAAACTATTTAAGATGTGGAACAGTCAGAGGAGTATATACAACTATTGACTTTGGCCCTGACACTAATGTAAATGAATCATTTAATTATCAACGTCAATATGCTCCATGTGGTCCATTGATAAATACAGAATTTTATCCTGGTTGGCTTGATCTTTGGGGTCATCAACATTCAACAGTTTCAACGGATAGTATTGTTAAAACACTTGATCAAATGTTATCAATCGGAGTTAATGTAAATTTTTATATGTTTTATGGTGGAACAAATTTTGGTTTTACTTCAGGTTAATTTAATTAAATGAATGAAAAACAAAAATATATTAAAATAAAATTGAACTATTAAGTTTTTTTTTTAATTTTTTATTATTAGGTGCTGATCCTGATTATAATCCACAACCAACATCATATGATTATGATGCACCAATATCAGAACCAGGTTTATTTTTATTTATTCATATTGAAAATTATTAATTTATTAATTTTTTCTTTTTGTGTTTTCTAAGGTGATATTACTTTAAAATATATGGCTATTCGAACTATTATTGGTAATTATTTACCATTACCATCAACACCTGTACCAGGAAATAATACGAAAAAAGCATATGGAACTGTTCGATTATCATTTGTAAATTTTTATTAAATAATTGAAAAGAAGTAAAATAAAAAGAAAGAAAAAACAAATCTGTTTTATCTTCTAGAAACAATCATTGTTGAGTTATATTAAAACTCATTCTTCATATTGTACAACATCAATGTATCCAAAACGATTTGAAGAACTTGGACAAGTATAGATGTTTTATAATGTGAGAAATAAAATTATATATATGTATAGAATCAAGCATTTGTCGTTTATTCAACAATATTGAATAATCCAGAAGTTCAAGGAAAAGTACTTGATTTAAGTGGAATACGTGATCGTGCTTATGTATTACTTGGCGAAGTAAATTTGTTTTTTTTTCTTCATCTACGAATCTCTTCGTTTTATTTTTCTATTAATTTAAATTTGTTTAAATTAACATAGAAATCAATTGGTATTGCTTATCGAGCTAATAGTTCATCATTAAAATTAACTATTCAAGCACCTGGAAATCGTGAAACACATTTGAATATTATTGTAGAAAATATGGGTCGATTAAATTATGGTGATAATCTTCTTGATACTAAAGTATATTCTTGTCGTATTTCTTTTTTGTTCTCTTTTCCTTAGTAATGATTTAACTGTATTACTTCAATAGGGTATCGTCAAAAATATTACATTAAATGGTCAAATGCTTGTCAATTGGACAATGTGTATATCTGGTTCATTATTTGATCAAGCTCCTACTGATTTTATTATGAATGAATTTGAAAAGTATGTTGAATATTAGCTTTTTTTTGTCTTTTCATTTATGATTCTTCTTCAAATAGTTTTGATCCAAATGCACCAAATATTTATACTGGAGATTTTTCAATTACAGATAAAATTCCATCGGATACATTTCTTCTACCAATAACTGTTTCCAAGGGTTATTGGGAAAAAGGTGTAGCTTATATGAATAAATATAATTTAGGTCGATATTGGCCAATATTAGGACCTCAAGTAACATTATATATTCCAGGTCCATGGCTTAATCCATCTGGAATGAATTCACTTACAATGATTGAACTTCAATCATCACCATGTGGTAATGAACAAATGTGTTCAATTGAACTTGTTGATTATCCTATTCTTGATAAACCAACATTATTACCAGCACCATTGTTATACAAATAACAAGCTCAACATAATTGAAACGACATAACTGTATTCTTTTCTTTTTTTTAAACATTAGCTTCGATTCATTTTTTTTATATATTTTTTTCTTTGTGACGATTGATTATATGTATTAGATAATTGGTAGTTCGAGATTTATTAACCTTTTGGTGACCGGTAATATATACATGCGTCATGAAATTTATCATCATATGAAACTAATGTAATCACTCATAATGCATATGTTTTTTTTTTGATACATTTGCGTAAAAGCAAATGTCAAACAGCAAGAGATTTCTACATTATCATTTTTGTTACGATTCATGCTAGACTCTCATGTTAAGAAACGAAAATGTACGTGATGTAAAGCCATTCGATATTACGTATGCATATCTTTTGTTGATAATCAAGCGGTTAATACATTTCATTTTGATGATAGAGGGTTCATAAAAATGCACTCAATAAATAACTATTCATCAAAATTTAATACTGTTTTTAATTATGAATTACAAAAAAGACTAATTATTGAACTGAGCTTCTTATCATTTATAGTATAAATAATCCCAGCTGATTATAGAAATTTGAAATTCTATAAAAATAGATACATAGATATTTGAAAGTTACGTCATCGAAAGCTTATCAAACTTGATATCTAGTTATACAAAAAAACAAGTTTTCTTTTTCTTCATTTCAAACTACACTAATATATATATATATAAAATAAAATTTACATTAAATCTTTATTGCTTAAACTAAAGCATATTGTTTATCTTTCGTATGAATTGTAGTATAATAAAAAGTAGAAATTCTTTATAGGCAAGAATGATCTATATGATATTTATTCTTGTATTAATATCAATAAGTTGATGAATATTAACTACAAATGAAAAATGTACAATAGAAATATATGTATGTAATATTGTTCGATTGATATTTAAATCTTCAGTCCAGTTAAAATATTTTATAACCTTTATTTATCATATTCACATTGATTTCATTGTGTTCAGTACTCCAATAATCGAGTTATTTGCAATTTATTGTTTTAAATAGAAGAAAAATAAAAGTCAAGAGTCATCTATGAAAAATTACTCGTATAGATATTGTATATTTGCTATTAAATTTATGTATTTATCGTATCTTTCTCATTTTTATTTCACTTTTTTTTATTGCAGTTTGCTGTTCTTCTCTTTTATTTTCTGTATAATGGAGAAAATCGAAAAAAAGAAATCTAATATAAAAAAAACCATGTGTGTGTGTGTAGTTATAATGATAAGGTAAAACGAAGAAGCAACGAAAACGAATTCAACAACATCGTTTTAGAAGTTCGTTATATAGTAAAACAACCTCTCGTTTCAATCAAACTTTATTGTAATAATGTTAAAATCAAGTACTCGTCATGGTAAATCTAAAAATTGATCATAAAAATTTTATTTTCATATTATTTAGTATCAACAAATATCCCATCGGCTCGGTCAACAACTCAAAATACATTATCGAATAGTAGTAGACCAATAGTAACAACATCTTTAAGCCCGAATCATGTTGAATCTATAGATTATACTGCATTAGATACATTCAGGTAACGAAAAAAGATAATATGATGAACGTGTTTAAAAAAGAAAGAATTGTTTCATAGGAGAGAAACTATACATAAAGCAGAAGAAGCACATCGGATATGGAAAGCAAAATTTGATCCATGGTTAATTGATGAATATCGAGAAGTAAATTTTCTTTTTGTTTGTCTTTATAAATCGTTAAATAATTGAATCCTTTCTTTTAAAGATGTATGCAAATAGAATAAAAAATCGCGGTATACCTTCTGGTAATCGTGTTGTTTCACTTAAACGTCCTGAATGGCAACAACCCGCAGATACATCACCGCCATTATATAAACGTTTACCTGGCCAACGACGTCGACGTTTATTAGGCTCATTTCCTGAAACAGAAAATGATGTGAGTAAATTGAAACATTCTTAGTGACTGTTTATTTTTTTTGAAAACATAAATTTGACTAATAAGTTATTTTATTGTTTTATAATTTACGGAAACCCGTACAATTCTTTTTTTTTTGCATAAAAACATACACATAACTTTTTTTTTATTAATGATCTTTGATTTATTTATTTTTGTTTTCTATTTAATTAGAAAATTGGTTGGCGTCTTTTGCCAGAACATGCTATCGATAAATATGGTTCAAAAATAGCAAATATTCCACCCTTACCAAAACAATACAAATTTTCTAGTTGGCCTGTTGAAAGTTTTTATTAACTTAATTTGAGAATTTATTTCTGATTTCTTTTTTGTAATTGTGTTTTGCATATTAGTAAAAAAAAACAAACAAACCAACTAAAATAATAACGTGATTGACTCAATCGTAAGAAGAAAAATGCTTCAAATGACCGTTGCCTATTGCATGTATAATACTTTATCGATATTTCAATAGAGCAAAGAAAAAAAAAGAAGAAAGAAAGAAAGAAAGAGAACATCACCATAGAAAATGCTCTTCGCCATTTTCTCTCTTTTACTCGCTCACTCTTTCTCTGTTTTTTTTGACAACTAACAAGAAGTAACACTGCCGTTATTGCTGCTGCCGCTACTGCTCGTCGTCGATCACGGTCGCAAGAGAAATAGTGCACAAGGCAGTGAAAAAAAAAGCAGAACATGCATTTTTTTGTTGCGTAGAGTGTTGGTTGTGCATCCGATCAAACTACTTGCTCTTGTGTTTCTAGATATTTGAGCAGAGTATGATAATATTATGTGTTTCTATATTGTTTTATTTATCGAATATCAAATTAGTCAATGTTCGCGTGATACCTTGATGATTCATCACGTTAATTACTCGTTTTTTTCTCATATTCGTTCGACATGTCCTTGAAATGTTTGAAACAGAAAAGAAATAAACCTATGTTATTCATATTTTATATCATATTATAGCTAATCCATGCTTTTTCGATATCTTCTTTTAATAGCATAGTAATAATAATAATAATAATAATAATCTTTTTTTTTTCTAGAATCATTCTTCATAAATAAGAAAAACATTTATATATTACATTAATAATGGGTCAAAAATCTGCTAAACAGCATAAAAAAGATTTAACTCATTTATCAGAAGATGAAATTGATCGTTTAACAAAAAATACAACATATTCAAAACAACAGATCCAAGATTGGCATCAAGGATTTCTTCGGTATAAAGAAAAACAAAAAAAAAGAATTTTTTTGTGTTTTGATGTTTTTCTTCAAAGTTTTCTTTTCTTTTTCTTTCACAGTGATTGTCCTAACGGTAAACTTGATAAGAAGAAATTCTTTGAAGTATACAAGGTAAAAGATCTTTTAACAATTGATATAACGTTAATAAATGTTTTTAGAAATTTTATCCCGAAGGTAAAGCTGAAAAATTTTGTGCTCAAGTTTTTAAAACATTTGGTAAATATATTTATTTCAATATTTCTATTTCTATTCTTTATTATAATTAGATTCGGATGATAATGGTTATATTGATTTTGTTGAATTTCTTATTGCTGTGAATATTACATCTCATGGTTTGTATTCAAAATAAAATTTTTAATTTATATTTTGTTTTTTTTTATAACAAAAAAAAAAATTTATTTAAGGTGATGTTCGAGAAAAACTTCGATTGGCTTTTGATATGTATGATATGAACAAAAATGGAAAGGTAAATAAGATATTTAATTCTATTTTAAACGAAATATTCAAACAAAAAAAAAACCATTATTTTATGTTTTCCGTATTATTCGAACAATTATCGAATAGAAGAGCTTATTTTGAAGATAGAAAAGATTCCTGTAGAGATTTTATGAAACAACAAAGAAATGGCGCGCTTACTTTCTTCTTGAAAATATAATCAATCTTCTCTTTGTACCACTCGCTCGTTTCATATGCGTATGATTTGATTTTGTATAAACAGTCTTCCGGTTGTTCTTATTATAAGTTTTAGTAAGAAACCAATCGTTGCACACAAACAATACACAAGCAGTTGTCATCTTTTGAAACATCTTATAACATTGAATAGTTATTCTTCATTTTCACACTCCTAGAAATTATCTTAGCTCTCTGTAATATTTTTCCATCTTTGAGTGAAAAGTATAACATTATAAGTACATGATTAAAGTACATGGATGGGATAGCATTATCGCATACTATAATGATTATACTATGTTGTCAGCGTTGACGCTCATAAATACATATTAGAAGTTAGTCAATTGCAAGGTTTGTATATATATATATACATTGTGTATATTCGATAGACACTTTTATTCTTTCTCTTTCCTTTATACAAGTCATTGGCTTGACAATATCGTTTGCAACTTAAGGATAGTGATTGAGAGAAGATTTATACTCAACAAATAGAAAGGATGATGTAATGAGCGAATAACACAGTATAAAAATTAATCATACATGGTTATGTATGTATTTATGTTAGCCATTGAATTGTATATCATTCATTATTTAACCATAGGGCTTTTTTTTTCAAGTATATTATCTCTTTCCTATACCTTTTCTTTTTATTCTGCATTCTCTCTTTCATCATAATACTTAGTTTTACCTTGGTTAGTATTATTTTTATTTTTCACGTGTAACGTATCATTACATGAAAATACGAGTGTAATTACAACAAGCATTTTTTTTATTCGAATAAAATTATTTTCAATATAAAAATAATGGGTCATCAAGAAAGTAAAAACTATACTAGTGAATTAGACGATGAAACTATTGAACGTCTTACAAAAAATACAAAATATACACCAGAACAAATTCGTGAATGGCATGCATCATTTTTACGGGATTGTCCAAATGGAAAACTTACATCAACACAATTTGTAGATGTTTATAAAAAATTTTATACAGAAGCTGAAGCTGAAAAATATAGTTATCAAGTATTTCGTACATTTGATCTAGATCGTAGTGGTTATATTGATTTTGTTGAATTTTTACTTGCTGTTAATATTAATGCTAATGGAGATATACGCGATAAATTATCTCTTGCTTTTGATATTTATGATATTAATGGAGATGGAAAAGTAAGAATAACGAAAAAAGAAAAATGAGAGAAATCAAATGAAAAAAAAAGAGATAAAACATATGTTGTTACATAAGTTATTGTTTTCTTTCGTTATCGAATTTTTGTGATTTTGTTAGTTAAGAAAGAGAAATATGTAGAATAGATATTCAATTCTATTATTAATCTTCATTGTTTTATAATTTATGAAGTCGAATAATTAGTGACATATCACGTTATTTATCTTTATTTAGATTGACAAGAAAGAAATGACCAAAGTGATTACGGCTATTTATGATCTTTTAGGTTTGTTTTATGATTAATATGTTATTTGTTATTTCTTTTTTTTTTGTTATTTGTTGTTAGGTGAAGAGCATCGTAAAGGAGAGAATTCACCAGAAAATCGTGTGAAAATAATCATGGAAAAATTAGATTTAAATGACGATAAATCTATCTCACGAGATGAATTTGTTGAAGGTTGTCTTAAAGATGATATCCTTCGACAATTATTGGCACCTAATGTTTAAAAAATTTCAAATGATCATCAAAAAGACATTATCTACATACACAAACATATAGCAAAAAAAACTCTATGTATTTTTTTTTGAATTATCTTTATCTTAACTTTATATATCAATTGGATTTTATATAGAGTTTTTGTGTTCGATTGCTCGCTTTGTTTTTGTCCTGTCTATTTGTATATGTATGGTTATGTAGAGCTTATTTCACTTCATTTTCTTTAGGAAAACATTCTATATCGTCTGACTCTCTTTCTTTTGTTTTTTTTTGTCGTCTTTCTTGCTTTTTTTAAAATTTCTTCTTTTATCTTTCACTTCTGAAATAACACATTTCTTCTTTATTCTTTTTTCAATCTTCAGGTTTACTATGTCTTCGAGAAAAAAAAGCAACATGTACGTGTCATATTGAATGTCCAGTAGACATCTGTAGACAAACTAAAAATAAAAATATTATATTTGTGTGATATTAGACTTATCTATTGAAGGTTATCAATGAGATAAATAAATCTGTAGAGATAATTTGTAAAACAGTAGACAAGAAAATGAACTGAATAAGAATTTTGTAAAATTTTTAATGTATGGAAATTAACGAGTGGAAAATAAAATGTTTGATCAGTTATGTATCTCATCGCTGAAATAGAGATTATCGATATGAAGTTCATCAAAAATGAAGATCACCGAATGCCTTCCAATCATCTATGTTTGTGAGTATCATTTGAGTGGTTATTTCTTACTTTCACTCTTTATGAATATTTATCATATATAGAGCTTGATTACGTTATTTTTGATAGTTTTGCTCAGTTTGCTGTATTCATGTAGAAACTCGCAAGTTCCTTATTTTGATACAGTTGGGTAGATCACCGATTACCCTATCGAACCATATAGTTTTCATTTTATTTCCGTTGGATCTGGCCCAAAAATTTGATAAATCTTAAAAAGCAGTCAAAACCATTTTTTTTTAGCCAGCAATTTTTAGATCATTTCTAAAACAATTTTCTCGATGGTTATTATTTACTGGGGTATTGAAACTGTTTATTCTTATATAGAACAATAAACCGTTCTTTTTCTCTATCAAACTATATCTTTTTTGGATAGACTTATTTTATATTTCTACTATAAAATTAGTGAAGTTTTCAGAAGCTTTTTCGTGAACTTTTTTCATATATGGTTTTCGGCTGTTTTTTTAGAGAAGTTTTTGTTTTTTAAACATCTACTCTTCTTTTCTTCAACATGTTGCTGAATAGAGCGTTGATGTCTCTATCGTTTTTACAGTTTTGATTAGACTTACGTTGAGTCTTACAAGTGAGTTTTTGCGAAAAATCACACAAACTTCGTTTTTCACTGGCAGAAAAATGGGCGAAAATTTACCACCAAGCATCCCTTTTCTCCTCAATTTCAAATCACTTCTGTTTGATTTTTTTTTGTACGAGAAATTGTGATGAATCTCTTCCATTCACATCAACTTTCGTTATTATTGAACTTACTGCTGCTAAAATATAACTGTGCAAAAGTTTCGTTTCAGCGCTTCTCGAACTTCATCAAATTTTTGAACAAGATGCAAAATAAATGAAATGAAAACTATATAACTCGATAGAGTCACTGATACCCTATCCGACTATACCAAAATAAAGATCCTTCGGTGTTTTGCATAAATACAGTAAACTATACAAAACTATCAAAAATAACGGAATCAAGCTGCATATATATATATACTGCAAGTATCATCTCAAAATATTACTGATACCTTTGGCCATGCCTTTGTCGACGAAAAGTATACTAATCATTTGATCTACATTAGTATGGTTCATGCATAACGATTCAATTTTCGATTCTGATACAACTTAAAGTACTTTCAGTACTTTTGTAAAAGAAAAAGAGGAAGCTTTTCAGCTATTATGATGATTTATAATAAATGATGATAGTTGATATGTTTGATAAAAAAAAATCGTTTCAGTTTGTTTTCCTGTTTCCTATTTGTTCACTAAGATGAACTCATATTATTCTAGTCCACTTTCTCTTATAACAAAATTTAATTAAACACCATGGATATTTTACTCAATGGATGATGCCAGAGGCATTAATAATAATATCGTAGCTTTATAAAGGACAAACAAAAACAAATCAATGCTGAGTATTCTCAGGTATTCATTTTGTCCAATTCTATTCTCTATAAATCAAAAGAAAATTACTATCATTTATAGAACAAAACACTCGTATTACATTGTTGTACGTGACAAGAACGTTTCATATTTCAAGTATAATTTTTAAATTGTAATCAAGATTGTCAAATATTATTTCTTGAAACGTGATATATAAAATTATTAAATTTCTATTAGAAACAACTACATAAGGATTTCTACATTCTTCGACTCTTAATTAATTGACAAACGTTCATTAAAACATAAGAAAAATCGAATTACAACGTATTATATAATTTCAGTTATATAAATATGATTATAGAATATTTTAATAGAATAAAAACAGGAATATTACAATTAAAACAACCTTTTTTGTGCTTCGTGTAAAAGCATTTCTATCCAAGCATGAGTGTATCTTATGTTGGAATTCGCATTAGAATAATCCTATGACAATGCTATTAGTTGTTATTTTCATTGAGTGTTAATCCATATAGAGTCAACGACATTTTGAAAGGATAAAGTATCATGCTATGATACAAAGAAAATTTGATCCTACTTATTTATCAATATTATCATATCACAATAGTTGATACATGATAGCAAACAAAAGAAAAATTGAACACTACGAAATAAATGTCGAATCATTTACATTGTGCTTTAGAGAATATCGATCAAAACAAAAGAAAAAACGTTATATTTTCATGATATTATAACAAAATGAACCCTTATTTTTTTTTCGTATTAATAGTGGAGAACTTCTATTTCGTACAAACTTCACCACGCAGATAATGCTAAAAATGATTTCTTTTGGCGCCGATAAGTTTTTTCTTTTAAATAATATATTGTTACTTTTGTCAACAGTTATTTGATATCTTTTTGAAAGTGAACATCATTGAGAAGTTTGTTCAAAGGAGTTCGTTGATTGTACATCGAGAAGACAATAAACTAAGAGAGTCGAGAGAATTTAATAATTATTATGTTCATTAGATTTAATACTATTGAATTTCTTTGTTTAAAAAATAAATAAGTGTCCATACAGCATCATTAGAGGAGACTAAATATTCAAAATCTAGAATAATAATATGAATTGAAGACATAAAAGAAAAATCACATGCAATGTTTTCTGAAATTGAAAAAGACTTCCGTTTTTTTTTTGGATTGAATTCTAAAGCGACACTTTTTTATCAGTAGTTATAAGTTTTATTTTTATGAATTGAAACTTAAAAAACTCAAGAAAAATTCGAATTCTTGCTTTGAAGATCTTACGTGATAATCTTCTATCTAGTTCATGTTTATGTCAAATGAATTAATTAATTCACTCGACAACTTGATGAAATTACTCTACTCAAAGGAAATAATACTAATTATAAAAAGAAAAAAAAAGTCTTCTAATAATAAGATTATAAAGAGCTCATGATAAGCATTAATTGATTTATATATCGGATCAAAGGATTGTGGAATAATAAGAATTTCTTTGACAAAAATTTTACTGTGATGGAACATTTATAATCCAGCAAAAAAACACATAATTTAATTGGAACAATGTTTCAACAATAATGGCAAATGTGAAATACAAGGAAAATAAACGAAACTAATTGCAATAAAGTATGAAGATATATATTCGCTATTAATGGAAATTCAATAAAATAAATGTTAACTTCATCTACTTACATCAAGTACTTTTAGAGTTTTTAAACTTCCTTTCGATTTAAGCCCCTCTTCATGGAAAGTCAATTTTCGTCAGAATTATTAAAATTAAGATAAATGCATGGGAAGATAACTCGAGGTCTGATCTTTCATAAACGATACGGGTTTTTTTATTTGATACCTGGTTTTTTTCTAAAAATTTTAGTCATTTTCTGTTTAAAAAATATGCTAGTTTTAAATAAAGTAGAAAATCTTTTTTTTCTTTTTTTTCTCTGCTTGTGGTTTTTTGATTACATATCCCAGAAGTCTCGAAAGAGTTTCATTGTAGTCAATAGGTTTTTTTTGTCTGAAAGAGTATGTCAAGATGTAAGGTATGATAAAGTCCCTTTTTTGAATTAAACTTTATTACTATTATATAAAAGAGTGCTTTTATAATTAGATCGTCATTTTTTGAGAGATTTCCGAGACGTTGAATTGTTCAATGCTTAAAAGTCAGAATTAAAAAGAAGGGCTTTTTCAAGTCCTGCATCTTGAAATTCACTTTCAAACAAAAGAAAACAAATTAAGTCTATAGGATGAAGGTCCACAGTGAATTTTCGATTGTCCAATGAGCTAGTTTCGAGCCTTGTTTGTTGAATATCTCTTCAAAACGTCATGATAAAGAGCTGAAAATTTGATCATAGCTTCTCCACTACAGCCCTAGCATACTCTGAAAATTTCATGCGGTTTGAATATATTTAACTCGAGATTGATTTTTGGAGGTGAGATCTTTATGAGGCCCCTCAAAAAAAAAAGACAATTTTTTTTCGAGCATTCGATCTTGATGAAGTTTCTAGTGGAGATGTATCTCAAACAAGGCACCTCATAGTAAAAATTTCAGCTCGATACATTGAGTATACGAAAAATTAGCTTAAAATTATAGATCAAACTATACGTATCCGTGTGACTCAAATTTTCCGCTATTTCAAATGTCAAAAAGTTCAAGGTGATTTTAAAATATAGCCAAAGCATGGTGCTACAACTTAGCGGGAGTGCAATTTTTTTCTGGTCTATGTTTCTCGAAAGTTCTACTGATAAAGTACGGAAAAACCGAGAAATGTAGATCCAAAACAGATAGTTATTAGTAAACATTAGTGGAAAAATCGAAAAATCCGGTTCTGTTAGGTTGTAGGACTGATTTTTGTTTTCATTTTGATACCAAGCTCAGCTTTCTAGCGTGTAAAA